TATTTAAATAACTTTATTTTTTTTACATCTAATAAAATTTTTTTACTTATACTTAATGAAAATTTTTTATTATGTTTAATAAAATAGTAGTTTTGAAGCTATAGGTCTAAATTTTGTAGTCATTTTGTAAAAACAAATAAGAGAATATGTTAAAAAAAAAAAAGATTAGAGAATCAAATAAACTTCAAATTAACAAATTTTAATCAATTATATCTCATAAAACAGCTGTGATCTATCCTCTTATAAAAATTGACATATTTAATTAAAGCATTTTAAAATGTCAAAAGTTTTATTGTATACTGATTTTCATCTAGTAAAATAATTATCTAAAATAAAATGCAACAACTAATTATAGACTTAGCGAAGTTAGGAAAAACTACTAACCAAATAATTACCAAAAAGAATAGTATTTGTAATATTACTATACAATTATTTTGAATGAGAGTCTCTTATATATAACTATTTTAAACAAATATGTTCAAAATGGAACCTTTTTGATTTTTTGAATAAAAACGATGAAGAGTTATTTTAATTTAAAATAGATTTATACCTGAGAAGTATTATAAATATTATCAAATATGAAAAAAGAAAGAGAAAGGAGAAAGCATAATTTCTTAAAGATAAATATAAAGAGCAAGTTAAAAAAAACTTTTTTTATTGTAAGTAGTGTGACAAGGAATCAATTTATTTTTTTATCATTCAAATCAATTCGTTGAGCTACAAAACTAGTATTGGAGTACCAGATAATCAATTCATTTGCCTGATATTCAATACAGATCAAATGAAGAAATATCGGGTTATCAGGTATTAGACAAATATCAGAGGAAAATTAGGAATTGATATTTATCAATACTTGATATAGCCATATTAGGTAAGTACCAGAATGATGATTTTCATTCAATATTTAATTATAGAAACTGATATTTATAAAGAAAAATTAGGTAAGTTTTAGAATTTTATCAGAACACCTGATTGGTCATACAAATATTTGTAGTATCAGTTAGAGTTCCGAAAATGACTCACATATTTAACTCGCATAATTATGCATAATTGTAAATTTTAGTTACATATAATAAATAAGTACTTTAAATTAAAGGTATATAGGATAATTTTGACTTGAAACTCAAATCGACTTAACTCATTTAGGAATACTAGTATCAGTGTCCTATCAGGTAATTAATTATTGTAGGTAAAAATATTTTCTAAGTTTATTTTTTTTTTTTATGTATGTTTATCTTTATTTATTGTAATATTGTAATAAAAGTTATAATAAAATAAACTAATAATAAAAAAAAATTCAATAAAAAAGTTCCTTTATAAAAAACTCAAGTATGATAAATTTCAATTAATCTGAAAATGTAACGTAATAATCTACTTAATTAACCTAATTAATTAATATAATGCTTAAATTAAAATAAAAGTGTGACGAAATATAACATAAATAAATATAAGACAATAAAATGTAACACAATTTAAAACAATAAAAAAATAGTAAGAAGATTATTCTTTCTTAAAAATTTTAAAAAAATCACATATCATTAATTAAATATAATATTTTTTATTGATCAGTATAACTGTGATATACTTTTTTAGATTTTTTTTACTGATTTCAAAGCTTCCTGAAATGAATCAATATAAGATATTGTGAATAGGTATTATGTAATCTCTTTTCACTTCATAAAATTTCGATTTCTATAACTCTATATTGCAAGATTTATTATCGTCATCTATTTTATAATAGAATCTAGTACTGTAGTTTTTGGCTAACTTATACTATCTCACAAATACTAAATAATGTGTCTTAAGTTCTGGTAGATAAACTGTGTATTCAAAAAAGAACTGGATTTGACTGAGGTATATGTTAAAAGTATCATTATTTATAAAGAAACAAGCCAATATTTCGCCGATTTAGTATATTGAGAAGATAATGTCAACCTAAATATTTCTATTCTAATTCTTAATTAGCTAAATTGATTAACATTTAGATTAACAGGAATAGAAGATTCTGCAGCTTTATAAATGTGTGATAATGTAACAAATTCTTTATTATACGCATTACAATAAAATTCAGCCAATAACTGTTGAAATTCTTGCTGCAATATTACATTTTTTTTAATAAGCCTAAAAAAGAACCTGAAAATGATTCAAAACTATAAGCTGCACCTTCTTCTGTTGTTTTTGTTAACAATAAGTGAAATATTTAATATTCTTCATTAGGATATTCATCATACATTGAAAGATTTCTAACTAAATCTTTCGATTTTAATATTTTAAGATTTTCTTGAAAATGCTAATTTTGTTCAACATGAGATGTTAATTCATCCAGAAGAGCATTATTTTGAATAATTTTCATAAGCTCAGACTCAATTCTTCTATGGTTATTTTGAAATGATCCTAAAAAAATATTATATATTAGTAAATGCTGATATTGAATAATTATATTAAACAGATGATTACCTAATAATCCATTCATTCATTTCATAGAGTAACACCAAAAGGCGTACAGGGGTCCATAATCTAACATGTATTCACATAAATGTATGCATAAATGTAAATTAGAAGTAATTTTCTTAGGTCTATATGTTCGTTCAATTTCTTTAACCATTTCTATGAGACGTTAATGAGCTTCTATCAGATTATTTTTTAATACTAATCTACATACCAAAATATTGCAGACGCAGACAAAGTTTGTGAGAATTTTTTAATCAACTTCTTCTAGAATATCCCAAGTAATGGTTGTTACATATATTAATATATATGTTTTTCACTGATCAGCGAAGAAGCTAGAAAAGCCTTCTCCTGTATCTATTTTTCTTAGAAGCCTACCAATATCAGTAAGTACTTGTATTTTATCAGCTCTCTTTTGCATAACTGTAAGATTGGCTATTGTTAGCTTGTTTTCTTCAATCTATAATCTTGTCACAATCCATTTTGCAATTTCAAGAAAAAGACAGTGCATAGGATCGATGACGAGAAATTGTATAGGATTAAAGTAAGGTAAATTATGTATTTCAGACCATCGTATAAGAGTTTCAGATACATGCTTTCATCTTTGTTCTTCTGATTTGCAATTTTTCCATTCGAAAGTATTATTTTTAATATCTTCGACGTTTCTTTTTACAAATCAGCTATCCATATCGTCTAATTCGCCAAATTTGGCTGCTTTTTATCATCAAAATTAGCATATTTAAGACATCTATAATACGCAATTCTCACAGAGATAAATCTGCAAAGCTTTCTTGCTGCAGGTATATCACAAGAACAATAAATAATGACTCCTTTAATTATTTTCCATTAGAATGTTCGAAAGTTTCTGGTAAGTCTATTCTCTTCCATAAATCGATTAATTGATCAACTAAAAATGCTAAGTAATAATTTAGTTGATGTAATTTTAGTTCTTTTAGACCTGGAATCAATGCTAACGTCAATATATTAGATGGCTTAAATCGTTTGCTCTGAGGTAAATTGCATATTATTGCATAGATTGCTTCTGTGCTATATTGAGAGTTTTTAAAAGGCTGGAACCAGTCTATATTAAGCATTATTCTAATATATGTATCTGCTAAGTTTGGCTGAAAGAAAATCGAATCATCCTCATCTTTAAAAGATTTCCATATTCTTCCATCTTATATATCAGCAAGAATCTCTGAATCAGAAGAACGATTAACACATTTTTTACAAGATTCTTCAAAACCTTTTTGCTTAAATAAGAGATTCAATTGGTACTTTAAGTTGACTGTAGGAAATATCAAAGTTGGCCTTTTAATTATACCTTTTTTTGTATGAATAAGTTTGTATAAAGTGCTTTCACAAGCATTTCTTTTATTATTTATAGGGTGTTCAGAAAATTCTTAGAATACACACTTCGTGAATTTAGAAGTAATATTAAGATTATCACTAGATATATCAGCAATTTTATATAATTTACAACATTCTTTACAGCTTGTATAGTTAATTAGATGAGCACAAATATCAAGATTCTTTTGTGTCATATAAAGAGAAGTAGGAAAAGTAGAGAATGATTTCTTGTTTACATTTGTAAGAACATAATTAAAAAACTCAAATAGAGAATTTATAGCCATATTAAATAGCCAAAACCTCTCCTAGTGCTTTAAGATTCATATAATAATCTACAAAAAAACATTATTGAATCCTTCTTTAGCATATTTAAAATTATTTTCTTCTAATTCTATTTTCAGTGCATTGAAATTCACTTGAAAATCTTCATTCAAATCATCTGAGAAGTATTCTAAACTATTATCTTCGAAGACTCTATTATTGTCTTCTTCAGATGTATTATTACCATCATCATCAGAAAAAAATTCGTCTATTACTTTTAGAATCGATAATTGAGATTTCCTTATTTTAAGAGGTAACTGGCCTTCTTATTAAAAATGTGTAGTTTTTTTTATGCAGTTCTTCTTGTTTTCTTTGTTCTTCATAACTAATATCCATAAGATCTTCTAAAGAAGATATCAGGTTAATGGGTGATTGATTGGTTGATTCTTCAATTTCTCTTTGATGCACAATGTTTCTTTTAACATGAAATGCTCTGATTCTAAGATCTACTAATTTTCTGTTACAAGTTTGACAATTACATGATACTAATTTTCTAGTCTGAGAAGGAGAAATATATGAAGTGTTTTTATTTGACATTATTAATTGAATTGAGTTAAAAATTGGAATTTTTTGAATTTTTAATATGTATATAACGATATAATAAAAATTTAATAAAATTGTAAGTAATATTTTAATATAATATTAATATGTGCTTTTTACTAAATATAGCTAAACTAATTACATTGATCATTAAGTTTACTCTTATTATCACGAGTCTAGGATTGCCTAGTAATTACGTATCACTGTATAATGCATAACATAGGCCAAAAGTCACATGAAGATGATAAATTTGCTGGGCGATTTCTCTTATTATATAACTTATTATTAAATATAGCTAATTTGAATCAATTTGATCACAAAGTTTAATAGAGTCTATTATAATGTGTATATATATTAATTGTTTGTCTAATCATGTAGTCTTCTAAATATAGATCACAAAAGAAAAGTTCTATCTATTAAAGTAGAGAAACTTCAAAAGAAATGTCATACAACAGAGAAGAGTCATTATATAGAGAAAGCTCATATAGAAACGAAAAGTTTATTAAAAGAGATAGAAGTTGAACTTTACGTGTTCCTATTTCATTGAAAAGAAGAGGCAGAGAACAAAGCTGTAGTCTTGCTTTAAGAAAAGATAGAGAGTGAAGTTGAAGTCCTACTTTAAAAAAAGATAGAGAACAGGAAAGAAGAAGAGAAAGAAGTGTTAGTGAGGATTATAGAAATATTAGAAGGAATATAAGAAATAAAAAAGGTGAAAGTAGAGAAATTAGAAATAAAGAAGGTGATGTATATTAGTAAAATTCTATTATCAATTACTAAATTACTAATAACTAATAAGAATACTGACTCATCAGAAATTGCAGAATTACATTCAGTTATTTCAATTAGTAGAAGAAGTCAGAGAACTTTGTAAAAATGATAGTCAAACAAGAATACCTTCTTTGTCTTCTGATCCTTCGGCTAATAGTAATAATTCTAAAAGAACTTGATCTACTCAGAATAATTTAGAGCCTATGAATATTAATTATAAGAAGGCTTTTCAGGTCAGTATATGTCCATTTATGATCATACAAATATGCTTAATTTAACTATTTAATTAATTTTAACTATCTTAAAATAATGTCATCCAAATTTTAAAGAGTCTAGATAATTCTTTAAAATTAGATCACGAAAAACGTTGGACTGACATTGAAGTGTATGTAATTCAAGATATAATACTGGTTATAAAAAGGGTACTTAGTGATAAATTTCAATATACTGATACAGAGTTGAAGAAGGTTTTACAGAACCTTTATCATCATAGAAGAGATGCATATTCTGTTTCATTAAACCTTTTGAAGTTTAAAGCGAACAAGCAGAGAACTGGTACGAACAGTAGGCAAAAAGATGTAAATAACTTCATTTATAGTCAATTTCATATCATTTACTTTTATTAATTTTTAAAAATTCATTAATTACATTAATATTTTATTATAAAGAAAAAGGATCGAAGAAAAAGAGAGTTTCAACATATGATAGATATCAATGATCAAATGATTTCAGATTTATAACCTTCAATGGAACGGGAAGATTGGATTAAGGATATGAGAAAGATCGTTGACGATTCTAATTATCATTCAGATGAAATTTTCAAATCAGATGATGAAAAAGGTAACACATTTTTACTGTATATGGTTACTAATATTTTATCAGTTAAGTATTAACTATTTTCTCTTTTAGCACAAGAAGAAAAAGATAAGAAGATTTGTTCACAAAAAAATAAAAATTTAAATCATGTCATACACGTGTATGACAAGAAGTGGAGATCGCAAAGAGTAATAATAAATAAAAATGTGACTCTATTTTTAGCATTTAATATATTAATAATATTATTAAATATCAAGGTTAAACAACTTCTACAGTATGCAGATTCAATTGAAAAAACTACTCAGAACATCAAAGTTGTCAGAAAAAGGTGGTATGATAATGATACATATGTAAACAACTCTAAACCACTAAATAATGCTTCATAATGGATAATTTCATCTTCGTATCAGTCCGAATAGATAAATAATAAGTAAGTTCTTATTTGGGGCTTTTGCAATAGAAAGGGAGAAAACTCCAAAAAAATTAAAATTTTAGTTTATAAGCCAAAAATATTTCAAATACTATAATTTGTTCAGATTTATTATTAACTCATTTTTTATTTTTTTTTGAGTTTCCTCCCTTTCTATTGCAAAGGCCCCATTTGTTTCTTTATTTTATTTATATAATTTATATAATTAATTGTTTATTTTTATTTATTTTCACATATAAAATGCATTGTATTAAATTAATAATGTGTAACAATTGTATTATTGCATATATTTATTAGTAACATTTATTTATTTATTTTATTTAATTATTAATTAATATATTATTTATTATTTATAGCGTACAATAAAAAAATAACAATGCATGTAATAATAATAGTTATATAATTTAAAATTTGCTATTTATTTTAATATTAAATAAATTACATATTACGAAAATTTACAAATGAAATACATATTACATATATAAAAATTGGTTAAATATCAGATTTCTTATATAAATGATACATACCTGATTTACCAAAAATCATAGACATATCAGGTTATATTAGAATGCCTGATATTTCTTCTAATATTCACCTTAAATTTACCTGATACTTACCTGAAAAATGCCAACTTGATAGTCCCATAAATAGTTCCTAATACGCGTCAAGAACCAATTAGACATCATGTAGAGTACTGGATAACACTCTTATATGAGTGTTATCCAGTTGCACTATAATGTTATCTAGTTATGAGTATAATGTTACCTAATTATTATTTTTACTATTCTGTGATCATTTTATTGCTTTATTGTATCCATTTATTTTTATTGCTCTGTAGCTTTTTTATTGCTTTGTAAATATTTGCTTGATTTTATTGCTCTATCTTCTTTTATTACCTTCTAGCTATCTGCTTGTTTTTATTACTTTGTGGTCTTTTTATGACCAAGATACTAGGCTGATGTTTATTGCATAAATCATGTTGTGATCGGATGGCACAGTAAATTTACAATTAGATTTATGTGATTTTAAGCTCATTTGGATGAAGATATTAAGAGTTTTCTAATGATGTTAAGATCGCATGAATCGGATGACTGGATACATATTAGAGGTGTAATTTGCATTATATTGATTAGCCTATATATTTTCCTTTTCAATTGCAATTTTATGATTGCCGGATGAGATACTTCATGCCAAATTTACAATCTATCTATTTGTTGAAGATGTGTTGCAATCCATTCACTTACTTTTTGATTGCTGGTTAAGCATGAAATGCCAAATTAGTTCAGGCTATATTGCTTTCATATCTTTTTTTGTGCATCTTTCTGAGCCTTTTTGCCTTTCCGATATCTTTTCTGCCTATAAGTGGTAGTATTCAAAAGCATAATTTCTTATTTTATTTCTATATAATTCTACCTTTAAATACTAAATCTATACTCTTATTTTCACCTGAGCCTTCCTAGAATTCTTTCTCGTATATTTGCTATTTTAGGATATTCCTATGTATGATTACTGCAAGTCAGGCATATGCAAAGTGCTAAATTAGTTCTGGCTATATTGCTCCTCTTTTTATGTATTCTTCTGAACCTTTCTACCTTTCTGATCTCTTTTCTGGCTATCAGCGGTAGTACTCAAAAGCATAATTTCTTATTTTATTTCTATATAATTCTACCTTTGGATACTATTAAATTTATACCCTAATTTTCACCTAAGCCTTTTTAGAATTCTTTTTTATATAGTTGCTATTTTAGGTATCTCTGATTACTTTAGGTTATTATTATATCGATTACTTTTAGATACTACTACATTGATTACTTTGGATACTACTACATTGACTACTTTTAAGTACTACCGCATTGACTACTTTTGAATACTACCACTAACCCAGTATTTTACTAACAAGCATATTCGCTTAAAATTTTTATTTTAAAGATTTGGGAAATTTATATATAATTTTATATTTAGTATTTCTATATATTGTATTATGCTACTTGCGTAAAAAAATACTAAGCCTCGCTCTAAAACAATAAATGAAGCAATCAGACTCATTTCTGATTTAGCGAACCTTGACTATGAGTCTGATTATGATGATTATGTATATTTTCAATATTTGTTTAATAATAAAAATGATATCTCTCTTCTAGACGCCTATCATCCTAAAGAGATTTATTCAAAATATATTATTTGAGTATCTGGAAAAGGTTTTACAGTAGTCAATCATCTATCTGAAGTTTATAGAATCTCTGATGCTTATGAATGCATTGATGGGAATCTGCCTCTTCGCCTAATTCTGGATATTGATACGAGACAAAAGTCAGATCTAATAAACCCTAAACTTCCTTTTTAGATAAATATAAAATTACTTGCAAAGATTTATTATCCAGAATCTTAATTGTCTGTATTGATATTTTATATTCTGATTTAAACCATCTTGCAATATTAGATACTTTTGCCTTAACCAGTTCATCTAATACTAATAAATGCAGTTGGCATATTGTATATAAATATGTACAGTTCGTTAACTACAGAGACCTTAGAGGGTTTGTGAAAAAAGTTGTTGATAGAGTTGAGAAACTATACTCTGAATTTATTAACCTTGAGCTTTATAAATCACGTTTTAGACTTCAGCTTCTTAGATCGACAAAGGAAGATAGAGTTAAAAGACCTGCAGCTTCTTCAGTTAAATAAGGATATTGTAAGCTAGAAGATTATTTAGTTTAATCTAAATCTGATTATTCTGAAATCTAGCCACAGACCTTTTCTTCTGAAAAGCCAGAAAAGGATGAATTCCAACCTATTGAAGATGAAACTGCTTTAAACAAGGGAGCTAGTCAAATTACTATAAAATATGAATAGCTTGAGATTGGCAATATTAGAAAAAGATTTGTCAACTTTCAAACAAAATCATATAAAGTATATCCTATTTGTAGAATTAAACATGAAAGAGATCAATTATATGGCTTTCTTCGAAGTAACGACCATTTTATACTTAAATGCTATTGGCAAAATCAATATAAGCCAGATCATAAAGGACTAGCATTTGAAGAGACATCAGGTATAATTAAGTCGAAAGAAAGAGCTAAATAGGGATTGAATGATAGATTAATTAATGTTATAAAAAATTCACGTTTGCTCTCTAAATTGTCTAGAAAAAATATTAATATAAAAGAGATGGAAGAGGCTCCAGAAGCTTATCCAAACTTCTTATATTCTGTATATAGTATAACTCTTATCTGTTCATCTGTAGGTATTGGTAAAACAAAAGCTTTAAGAGAAATTTTTAACTCTTTAGCTAGAAATAGAGAAAATTTGCTTTGCTTTATCTGAGTTTTATATTGCAAAACTCTTACCAATGAGACTAAAGCTAAAATTGAAATATTACAGAATTTAGGACTTTGCATATGCCAATATCAAGAAGTTAAGAGTAGTTTAGTTATAAGTAATTGAAATGTTATTATCATTCAGGTTGAAAGTAGTTATTTTAGATGAAGTCAATGTGGTTATACGCTAAATATCTAGTGGTATTTATGTGTGAG